ATTTTAATGGCAAAATTTTTGATTGAATTCAATAGTCTTATGTTATAAACTTAAATTTGAAAACACAACTTCTAGTAAATTGGTTTCATAGTAACACAAAAATAAAAATGATCTCTAAAAAAATATTAAGTCAAAACAGATTTAAGCGAGAAGCTTACACTTGAATTGATTTGAATTGATTTGAATTGATTCATCGATGCTCTTCACTATTAATCTCCATGTGAATACAATAAGATAATCACATTGCAATTTAGATAAAAAAATGAAGTTAACACAAGCAAATATTATTATCAAGACAAATGGATTTATTTTAGGGTTAAGGTTTTCTAACCAACAATGAGAATTTAGTTAAAAAAATAAGGGATTGAAATTTAAAACAAAAAATTTCTAAAATTTTTTTAGATTTAGTTAAAAAGAGAAGGGATTTATACCTTTGGGTTTGGGCAATTCGTTAATTGAAAGGAATGGGAGACATAATTTATGAGGAGAAAAGGATAACAACGATCAAGTTGACTATTTTGACGACAACCACAAAGTGTATCACCACCGGCCACCACCTTTGTTCATAGATACAAGAGAAAGGGAAAGTAAGAAGTTCTAAAGTTGAGAGAACACAGAAAAAGGAAAGATGAAAATGACCGCTTTGTGGTTTACTCTCATTTTTATACTTAGGGTTTTTTCTAGTTGCTAAATTACTAATTTACCCTAAAAAAATCTAATAAAAGGTAGCAAATGCAATCTGGACACAATTTGGACGGCAAGATTAGGCGGGATTGTGGGGAAATGGAAAAAAAATTATAGAAACATCAAAAATAAAAAAAAGGCCTTAGTTGTTTGGGCTTACTCATGCAGCTGCCGGTTGTTGGGCCCAAAAGCTGACAACCGCAACCGAGGCCTAGCTCAACCGATTACAAGAAAAGCTCGACTCACCACTTACGGTTGCGGACGGGCACGGGCTTTTTTGCGGTTGCGATCCTAAACGCCAAGCTCTACGCATAGGTATACATTTTTGTTCGACCAATCTTACAGTTTTTTTTTAGAGAACCACAAAACTCAACATTAAATTATATATAAAAAAATATTTAATTATTATCTTTATAAATTATTAAATTTTAATTTGATATTTATGTTTAAAAAATTAAAAAATTTAAATATAACTACTAAAACTGAATAGATGAAGTAGATATTTAGATTATTTAGAATATTGATTACAACATAAAAAAAAAAGTTGTAATAATAGGAATGTTGCATGAGGTAATTCATTTGTTTGTGAAGAAATAGGTAATTCATTAAATAGATGAATCTCATACACATATATAATATGAATTTATTTACACATAATTTTTATATGTTATATAAAACTTTAATTATTAATTATTTATTTTTAATAATTAAAATTTATCATGATTTTTAAATAAAAAAATAATCATCTTTAATAAATGTGACTTTTTCTTTTATTTTGAGTTATCTAATACTCATTGGAAAGTAATTTGCAACTTAATTGTAATTTTATTTAATAGGAAACTTAATTTGAGTGCGAAGACATAAGGGTAAAATAAGGTATGGGTAGGATTCCCTTTAATTTGTGGAACTCATATTTCCTTGCATGCATAAAAGTGATGTACTAATTTTTCAACATAAAGTGATTCTGTAAGTATTTATAAAAGAAAATCAAGCCATTAATAAAGAATAAAGTTTAATATTAGAATCATACCATTCCATCAATAGGTAAAAGTTATAATAAAATATTTAACTAATGAAAGTAAAGTACATGTTCTGTGAAATTATATATATACTCCCAAATCCTAACTTTTTTTATAAATTATCTAATTAAAGTAAATAAAAAGAAAATAGAAATCAACTTGCTTTCTCCTCATCTCCCGACCTTTGAATGATGGTAACAGGCAAGGAAGAGGCATCGGGGCATGAATAGAGACAAAATCTACAATAGATAAGGAAGAGGCACGAAATGGCTGTACTAGCAATAGCAAATTTGTTGTCCCCACATGCGTAAACCGCGACTGGTATACATAGATCCAGAAGTAAATCAAGATATTTACCATTG